AATCTCTTTGAAGCCAGATATTAAATCTTGTCTTAGTTTTGTTTATTATGGGCTGGAAATTGAGCACACTGCGTTCATTTTCATCTTTATTTATGATAACACCCAAGTATGTAACTATTTGTTTAACAGGAATACCATGTAATTCTGTTAAACTACATGTTTTAATTGGAAACAGCACCGATTTGTTTACATTCATTTTAAGCCCTGACACTGAGGAAAATTCTGTGATACAATTAATTGCTTTTGATATTTCTAAATCATTTTTCAGAAAAATAGTAGTGTCATCAGCTAATTGGGATAATTTGAATATTCTTCCAAATATGTTTATACCTTCAAATTCAGCTTTTTTTATATGTAGGGCCATAATTTGTGTAACTAATAAAAACAAAAATGGAGACAAAGGGCTACCCTTGCTGTATACCTCGATTGATCTCAAATCTACCACTAGTACCTACTGATAATTTGACTGAACTATTACATCCATTGTAAATAGTTCTAACAGCTTTCTGAAAATATTCCCCTCGACATTCTTATCAAAAATCAACAGACGATGAAATGTGACGCGATGCCGTAAAAAATAGCACGCCTCCTTCCAGAAGTCGCAAGCGTGCGCATGCGTAGTAGCGGAAGTTACATTTTCGGTAGGTGTAACATTTTCGGTAGTGACAGAGGGTAACAGATTGGGAAACATGGAAGGGCCTTTTTTAAAACTTAGTTTTTAAAAGCGTATGAAACATTTTCTGAGAGGATGGAATATATACGTATATTGTGAGACACCATAAAGTACCGTGTTGGTTCCTTCTTGAAAATAATTACAGAAGACCTCCTAAAATGTTTAGTTAAATAGAGGTCCATTCAATGTTTAAGACTAAATTACTTATTTATCAAAATGAGAATTTCAAACATCTACCGTTGAAAGCTTCCAATCAGGCACGCATTTAGTTACCCATGAATTGGGTCTTTTTGCTATTTGCTTGGGCGCATGAGCGGTTTTTTTGCGTTTGCTTGTTGGTGGTGTGTTGCTGTGGTGCGGGTGAAGAACTTCGTGGAACATTTCTGCTGCCTATATTCTGTAGCTAATAAAGATATTAAAGCAATAATAAAATGAAAGTAGTCGCGATGATAAGGTAATCCATGTTATTTTTATATTAGGTATCTACATGATGCGACGGACTGTAAGATTACTTAGGAAGCAGTTCTAAAAACGCTAGTTTGGCGTTGCAGTGCTGTTAATCAGTTGCATAAATGCTTTAATAATTACCTGTTAAAGCTCTTTTTTCCATCGAAAATGACACGGCTCACATATTTAAGCCAGTTTACTAGCGCTGCGTGTCCAGCACAATGCAATGAGAGCACTAGGGTTGCGTTATAGGAATTCTCCTACTCTTTCATTCCCACAATGGGAAAGTGTCCGATAAATCCCTTACAATCAGCTTAAACTATTAATTAATAGCTACTACTTATGCATTGATGTTGTGTTTGTGCAGTAGTCAACATTTATTGCTCCCTTGTTATATTTTTGTCTTAGTGTTTTTTTTTGTGCCATATTTTTAGTGGTGGCAAAGACAGCTGCTACAACATGATGCAGTGTGTAGCTGCAGGACATGAGATTGTTGCTCTTGCAAACCTGCAACCCTCTGAAAATAAAGGTGAGTACCATACTTACTGGTGACCTTAGAAAATATTTTTTTTATTTTTTTTGTGTAGATTTGTTAGTATATTTGACTCTTGATTAACTGTTTATTTTTCCCTGTAGATGAATTAGATAGTTACATGTATCAGACAGTGGGACATCAGGCTATAAACTTGTATGCAGAGGCGTTGGACCTTCCATTGTACAGGCGTGTTATTGAGGGATCGAGTTTGAATATTGGAAGAGGATATAGACAGAGAGAAGGAGATGAAGTGGAGGACATGTATCATCTGTTGAAGCAGGTCAAGGTAAAGCTGGAAATGGATTCTTACGCATATGCTAAAGACAAATGAATGATTAATGTGTTAATTCAGTGTTTGGGAACATAAATAGGATTAAATAATTATAGTAGACAGCTGGATGTAAGCAGGGGCATATTATACACTGAGTGTACAGAATGAAAGGGACGCCTCCCTTAGATTGAAATGCATGCAAGATAGAGAGGATGCAGTGTCACAGTGAACTCATTTTGATCTGTACAGTTTGTGTCAATATTCTTTCAGAATTTTCAGAGTCTGACAGTGAGCCTTTTTGGGCACTGCCATGGATTGGATGTTTATTACTTGGTGGGCTATTTCAGATAACCAAGACTGGGTGATATGACAGTATTATCAGTAATCGATGATGTATCCTGGATTCGATATCTGACAGTGAATAACCGACAATTAATGCCTTTGTTAGGGAAGTAGGCTTAGTCTACACACAAAGATAAAGATTTATAATTTGACTTTGAGCTTAGTGTTCTAGCCTACATTTCCACCACAGTATAAAAAACTTCTTCTGACAGTTTTACATAGTCTGCAGCATGATTTAAAACAATTATTAAATCTGGCTTGCCAGCTAATCATCTTCTTCAGAGACTAAACTAAAAAAACAAAATGATGATCAGCACCCCCCCCATCCCACAGTTGGTAAGTTTTAATGCAGACTGTTTAGCAGATTACACATATAAATTGTCCAGCTTTCACAGTTTCCTTTGGGCTAAGTAATTGAAGTTCCTCACTTGGTGCCAGGTGTGCGTGCTGGTGTGTCACGATTCAATATACATTTACTATCAGTGTAAAATAAAAACATTCACACACACAATATATATACTATATATATATTGTATATTGTACTGTATATAATATACTATAAATATTAAACTCTTCAGTATGCCCTCTCCAGTTCACTATGTATACTTAAACCACCCTATTGCGATATGCTCGTCATTTTCCTATACGTATTGGTGCGAAAATAACGTTTTTTTTCTCCTGAAAACTTGGGTCGTCGTCTTTTCAAGGGCTAGAATTTAAATGTCGTTATAAAATAAAATATTTTTTTTCCTCAATTTTTTTCAGTCTCAATTTTCAGTTATTTTTCAAATAAAATTCTTTTTCTTTATGAAGAACCAATGGAATACCAAATCTTTTCTTCCAAAAATGTATTTGATCTTGCCTGTACAGGCACTATACATACTATGTATACTGTTAAAGAGAATACACAAACCACCTACTGGTTATCAGAGTTAAGAAACACTTTTAATGTTTTTCTTTCCTTGATTTTATGCAGTAGAAATAAAGTATGCCTAGTTAGTCATGCTGTGATTTTTATTATTCTTTTTTTGACTGGGAGTTATATGGAAAAAAATAGTTAATTGTTTAAGTATATATGTTTTTATTTTCTTCTTAATACCGAAACCATACCATTACCATGGTTCAAAAACTGTGACACACAGAACCGTAGGACAACCGTTACACTCGTAATACATACATACACACGCACATATACAGAAGTATGTGTTTGGGGTGGGGGGTGCTAGATGAATAAGGATGATGTTATGGCTTATCCTGATATTTTTTAGATATCTCCCAGCTATAATACGCACAGGACAATGTTGCATTACAATATAGCAGCAGCATTATATTTTGGATCAGAGTCATTTTAAATCTATTCTCCCTCTTACAAAATTCATGTCTCAGTTGGCTGAAGATTTAAAAACCCTTCTTTAACCTGTCTTCTCTTATTTAAGCAGTTAATTGTTATGGATCCTAGCTTTCATTTGAATTCATCTGGTCAGTCTGTTTTGATAAAAAGACACGTGTCTCTTATGTTATGTATTCTCATAATATTTTGAGAGCTCCCCAGAAACAACCCTGGCCTTTTCCTAACAGGAGGACAAAGGAGTTGAAGCTGTTTCTGTGGGGGCCATTTTGTCAGACTACCAAAGAGTCAGAGTGGAAAATGTGTGAGCAGATTTTCCTCATTCCAGTAAACTAATCCTGGTCATAAATATGACAAACACACTTAGATTACATCTAACGCCAGTAAATCCTTAGTTGCTTCAAACATATATGTTCAGATATAAATTTCGAAAAAACAGCAAAATATATAAAGTGCACAGATGCTAAAATATATATAAACCTATAGACTGAATGAGATCTAAAGATTTGTGAAGGGAATCAGAAATTTTTCAGAACTTCTGAAATATTTTTACTTTTGTACATGAAACCATGATTTCTGGGAACAAAATCAAAGTGCCCTATAGTCATGTCAACAGCAAAAAGTTATGAAAGTTCTAATTGTCCTTGAACTTTTGTGAGCTTATATCCAGCTCTGCTTTCCCATATGTTTGTTCTGTAGGTGTGCACGTCTTCATCTGCAGCCTCTGGCTTACTTGTGGCGCAGAGACCAAGAAGATTTGCTTAGTGAAATGATATCAAGTGGACTAGATGCCATTATTATTAAAGTTGCAGCATTTGGTAGGTATAAGGTTTACAACTGAGAATTTTCTTATGGACAGTACTGTGCAAAAGTCTTAGGCAGCAAGTTTAAATGATCATGTTGGTGTAAAACTATGCTATTATGTCTATCAAAGTGTATTAGATTAGCCATCTCAAAAGTATTAAAATTACCCCAGTATTTGCAGCAACCATTCAATACACCCATGTATTTTTTACCACTAACACACCTTTATATCTAATCAACATCTCCTTGATTTTTTTTTAACTAACCAGATTAAGTGAGCTGGTATTGAAATGTAACTAATTCGTTAATTAGCTCAGGTGCCCCTGAAGAGAAGACTGGGAACTGAGGTGATGTTCATCTAGCTATCCAACTAGATATCAGTAACTTTTTGGAGAACTGAAGAAATTCGTACTTATTTTTACTGTTTTATTCTTAATTTTCTTATGTTTTAATGTTAAATTGTGTGTGTTTTTTGGAACAATTCAATACAAGGTGATCATGCAATATGCACTTGCTGCTCAGATAAATAGCTTTAACCATTTCTTTTGACTGCCTAAGACTTTTACACAGTATTGTAAATTTGATTGTTTGGGTATTTCAGTCAAGAAGCGTATGGCTCCATACGGTTGCTTTTCTCCTGACAATAACCAAGTGCCTGATTATATTTTGGACTAATTATAATTGGATGTGTATTGTGCAGTGTGATGGTATTCAGGTTAGACCAAAGGTTGCATGGACTTCATTTGGTTGGGATGCCAGTCTCAGGGCACACATTCCTACACTAGGGAAATTTATAGGCATTGGTTAATTAGGCCAGGTGTGGCCAATCTTATCTGCAAAGGGCCGGTGTGTATGCGGGTTTTCGCTGCAACTCCCTAATTAGATTACTAATTAGAGGACTGATTGGCCGAAGAGTCCTCACACCTGGGTTATCCCAAAAACCTGCATACACACGGGCCCTTTGTGGATAAGATTGGCCACCCCTGACTTAGGCAGAGTGGTTCAAGGAATATGTCAACTCCATGCAGAGAAAGGTTAGGAATCTGCAGCCCCAGAGGTGAGAGGTAGCCATCTTTGTTGTGAATAAATTAAGTCAAATTTGAATGTGGATCTTTCTTTAACCAGCAGCTTCTCTCTGATACATTTATATGTGATATGATAAATTGAGATTTGCCTTTACCAATATCAGCCTTCTAACTACACTTAACCATTGCTTATACTCTATATGATTGTCTAGGTTCTGATTTTTACTTGTTTGCTTTTTGTTGGGCTGTTCAGTCCCAGAGCTGGAGATCTATGGTACATTTCTCTGTGTAGTAATTAAGAATCTGAAAGGGAAGCTTCACAGTCCTCTAAGATTTTTTGGACCGCTCCATTTAATCTGTTTTCACTGTGATTGTCAGTCAGGTTGAAGAGACAGTCTCCCAAAGATAAGTAGAAGAGGCAATATCCTCTTCATAACTGCACCAAATATTTTTTGAAAGTGAATTTTGTTGAAAATATTTATTTGAACACCACCCTATTTGAAGAAAGCAAGTATTTTTCTACAGTGTAATCAAATGGGTATTATCAAGAGGAGTTGCAGCACACGTTTTGGTGGCAATTCCAGTCTGTACTGGGAACTGAGAAGAATGGCTCTGAGGGCAGATAAGGAGGCGTTTTTTAGACAAATCAATGAGCAGGTAACACATCATCTGTGGTCTAGTGACCCACGTCCTACTTACAAAGGAATCAATGCATATTTGAATCTTTTTCTCTGAGACTTGCTTTCAGAGCGGATGATGGAATGGTCTTTATGGATGACACTGCAGCTGTGACCCACTGGGCAGGCTTCTTTGAGCAGTTGTTTAATGCTGATCCACCAGCTAGGATGTTGAACATCTCTGGTTCCACGGTTCTCAAAGTTGATCTTCCGATCAGCTGTGAACTACCCTATCTTACTGAGATTGCATGGGTGGTGAATCACCTGGGGGTAAGGAAGGCTGCAGGGATCTGTATTATCCAGGGTGAGGGAGCATCAGTTATGACACAACGACCACGTTGCGCCTTTTCCTGAGGGTGATCCGGCTCGCAGGATCCTCATTGCTGAGGTCCTGAGGGGCTGGACCAGGCCAAGGGGATGCCCACGTAACACCTGGCTGTGGCAGATGGATGGCCATTTCCGGAGGATGGGACTGGACTATGTGTCTGCCTGGGGCCTCGCTGGCGGGGATTCTGAGGAGTTTTGCCGTGTGGTGGGTGCAGCAACACGTTGCATCAGGGCATGCTCCCCAACCTGACCGGACCTGACCTGTAATCAAATGCCTGTGATCAGAAGGTTGTTGCTTCAAGCCCAGCCTCAGCACATCTGCAGGCCCTTTACCCCCAGCTCCCTAGGTGCTGCTGTGGATGGTTGCTCCTCACAACCAGCTTGCTCTCACTTACAGAGAGCAAATTGAGGGAAGCATAAAGAGAATTTCTCCATGGGATCAATAAAAATATCAATAATTATTAAATATGGGAGGCTAGGATAGTTTCTAGTACCTTAGCAGATGATAAATGTTTGTTTTTGCGTGTTTTTTTCCCCTACTTGGATGACCCTAATTCTCAAAAGAGGTGAAGTTTTCTTAAAAGTGTTAATAGTTCTGTGTCGTTTCTTTTCTTTGTACTGGAACTAACACATGTATTCTTTCTTATCTTTAATTTAGTGGCTTTTATGTGTTGTGTTGTTTTTCAGGATTGGATCCAGAAAAGCATTTAGGAAAATCTTTGGTTCAAATGAAGCCATATCTTAAACAGGTGGGAAGCACTGCTTCTGAGCATTTTTTCTTAATATAAACATATATATTAACTTTTAGTGGATATTTCATACAGAAGTGAAAGCTGGGAAGATCAAAATGAAAGGTATGACTTAACATGTCATGAAGACTTCAGCATGCAAAACATTAAATAGGGTCTAGTTTTGATTTTGAGGAAATTTGGAATGTGAATTTCACGTACCTTGTAGAGCTCATAAATTTTAGTTGATTTTATTTTTTATTTTTTTAAAAAGTGCCTTTTCTACAGCTCGGGTAGCAAAAAACAGTTCAGTGTTTTCTAATTATCTAACTTTTTATAATTACCTAACTTCAGCTATATCTCATTGGAAAGCTCAGAAAGAGTACTTTTCAAATCATAATATGTGTCTTAAGGTCAAGGTTCATCTTGTAGTCTTTTGGTTATAAAAACAGTTAAGAGCTTGGAGTAAAAAAGTCAGTTTTTTTTATAGTGAACTGCATATACTCACCTAAAGGATTATTAGGAACACCATACTAATACGGTGTTTGACCCCCTTTCGCCTTCAGAACTGCCTTAATTCTATGTGGC